GGAAAACACCCCAAACCTTTGCTATAGAGGCACCCAGCACTCAGGGAATGGATGAGAGAGGGCAGAGTTATGTCACACAGAGCGGGGTGGGGAGGTGGGTGAGATGGAAGTGCCGGATGCAGCACTACATTGCCACAGCTCTCTGCCTGACCTACATCTCACCCCACACCGCTGGACCCACAAAGCCCTTACACGCAGGGTGCTTAAGCCCCACATCCCCTCTGTCTCACACGCAGCCTCACCCAGCCCCACTGCTGTAAAAGCTGCCTGCACCTTGCCTCCTCTCAGGGTTTACAGCCAGGGCCAGATAAGGATGCAGATTAGCGTTAAAGTCCTTCCTAGCTAAACAGAGAAACCACCCAGCAACCCCTTCCAAAACAAAACCAACACAAGGAAAAAGCAGCCAAGAGCACTGACCAGCTGTGGACCTGCTGGGAGAGCTGTCACAGCAGTGATGCTTGCATGGGCCATTGGGAAGCTCCCACCATTGGACCAGAGAAATCCCGTGCTGTTCCCAAGGTGTGCCAGGAGAATGAAGAGCGAGAGATATCAACCAGGCAGCAATTGCTCCCAGCAGCACCATTAAGGCAAAGAGAAACCTTGGTCCTGTCCTGATGCTCGTGCCCCACAGCCCACAGTGTGGGGCTGGTCCTGGGAGACCCGGCGCTGACTCCAAGGAGCAAGTTCTACCAGTAGAGTTCCTCCTGCGGTTGAGACTTGGCACGGACCAGCCCCACAGCTCGTTCAGGGAAGAGCCTATCACCTGGCAGAGCAAAGATGGCAGCAGGCTGTATGCTACCAGAGAATCATAGAACGGGTTGGGTTGGAAAGGAGCTTAAGGTCATCCAGTTCCAACCCCCTTGCCATGGACAACACGTGCTTAAATCAAACCAGCTTTGCCCTTTGGAAGGAAAGCTCTCCATACGTCCCACCTGCACGAAGCCTTAGCCAGGACATGATAAAACAGGGCACCAAAGGTACCACCATTTGTCTGCTAGCGGATGGCTAAAGGATTGTTTCACACTTCCAAGGTTTCACTCAACAGCCAGGCTCTGAAGAGGCTTGAAGACTTCAGCATCCTCCACTCCGCAGGACTTTGTCTCTACTACGATGCTTTTCAGTCTGATGCCCAGGCTGTTCTGGGAGATGGCTGGATGCTTAAAGGGTGCTTATTTCCCTTGGCCTTCTCATGTAAAGGAGACAACTGAAAAACGCTGAGCTCTGACTCTTCCATTCCCATTATCCATCAAACTTCCCAACATCCCAAACAACAACCCAGGAGACCTGACCTCCCCAGCCACCCTGCACGGGCACTCACCTCTGTTTGCCCTGAGCAAACCCACCCTAAGGAAGCCAGATCAGTGAAGCACCCAGCCTTGCTGGCTTTCCAATTTAACTAACTAACTAACTAACTAACTAATCAAACTAACTAACCCCCAGACACGTGGTGTGACAGCAGAGGGGCCACGCTCGCTGTCCTGCTGCATTTGCCAAGGACAGCTTTGTGTCAAAAATCAGGTAGAGCCTTCTCCTGTTCAGCCTTTCCTCTTCGCTATTCCATGGAACCCATGGGTATTCAGTGTCTTTGCACTCAGTCCTCCGCCAGCCCTGGTTTCAATCAGTCAGGTCAAGCGTCAGGTGGGCAGGAGCAAAGGAAGAGACGGGTTGTGTAATAACTACAGAAACCTTAATTCTTTACACAGCCAATGGAAAAATATACCTGTTATCTCTCCTGCTCTGGATAAAAGCTGCAGAAAGGAAAACACGCTCTCTGCAAGCAGAACACTTGGTTCCTCCACAACCCAAGGCTGCATAGAATCCCAGACTGGTTTGCGTTGGAAGGGACCTTAAAGCTCATCCAGTTCCAATCCCTGCCACAGACAGGGACACCTTCCACTAGACCAGGTTGCTTCAAGCCCCTGTGTCCAACCTGGCCTTGAACACTGCCAGGGATGGAGCAGCCACAGCTTCTCTGGGCACCCTGTGCCAGCGCCTCAGCACCCTCACAGGGAAGAATTTCTTCCTAATGTCTCATCTCAATCTCCCCTCTGTCAGATTAAAACCATTCCCCCTTGTCCTGTCCCTACAGGCTCCTGTACTTCGCCATGGTGTCAAGGTGGCATCTCAGGCTAAGGCAGTGTTGGAGAAGAGGCGACGGGGTGTTGGAGGGCAGACTGAGAGAACTGCAGAGCCCTCAGCAACACCTGCCTGTGAAGCACCAGGCTGAGATTTCAGCTTTTTCCCAAGCTCAAAGTTATCCCCCAGGGCAGCAGGGCAAGAAGCAGCAGCAGCAGACCAGCTGCTGCTTGGGGAGGGCACTGCCTGGCCTCTGGTTCCAAGAAACAAGGTCTCATCTCCTTCCCTGCCCCTGGGCTGCAGCTACCATCGCCAAAGAGCATCAGGGGCAGAGCGACAGCTGGCGGAACAGCACCAAGGAGGGAGAGAGAACCAGGAGGCCTGATCCTGCCAATAGCAGCGGGAAAAGACAGCAGCAGCAACACCAGCAGATAACAGACAAGCACCAGATGCCCCTCCTGGAGCTTCTCTCTCTGCCCTGTCACAACCAAGGCAAAAATTAAACACAAATGAGAGAAGCCCGTGCGCAGATCCTGCCCGCATCCCACAGCCTCTGCTGAAACACATTTTCTGCCTAAGTGACTGTGCACTTCCAGCCTCCTGGCAGCGTGTGTTACCCTATGGAGCAACTCCAGATTGTCAACAGTTAGAGCTCCACTTAATTGAACATGTCTCAGCGCTCCATTAGCTCTTGGAGTGCAGCAGCTACGGCCACGGCCCTGGGCAGTGCTGCCAGCTCCCTCCCTGAGCCCCAGAGTGCAAAAACAGGGCAGAAGAACCAAACGTATCATAGAATACTGGTTTGGGCTGGAAGGGATCTTAAAGCTCATCAAGTTCCAACCCCCTGCCACGAGCAGGGACACCTTCCACTAGACCAGGTTGCTCCAAGCTCCTGTGTCCAACCTGGCCTTGAACACTGCCAGGGATGGGGCAGCCACAGCTTCTCTGGGCACCCTGTGCCAGCGCCTCAGCACCCTCACAGGGAAGAACATCTGCCTAAGAGCTCATCTAAATCTCCCCGGTGTCAGTTTAAGGTCATTCCCCCTTGTCCTATTGCTCCAGTCCCACTACTACATATGTATATATATATATTAATACATATATACACACACAAGAAGAGTGAATTAGCACTGTAACACAGCTGCAGCTTCACTAATCGCTGCGGTGGCTGTTACAAATTTCCTCTCTCAAACAGCATTTCACCACCACCCCTCATCACACCTGCTCGGGGTCTACATCCCAGGGAGCACCCACCTCTCCCAACCTCCTTCCCAGCCCTTTCCCGGCGAGTGGAGGCCGCTGCCACCACTTCTTGCCAAGAGGAACGCTGACATTTGAGGCAGGGAGGTTCCTCTATCGCGCCTGGCCACGTGTGCAGCGCGATTCCCCGGCGGGGCGAGGAATTCCCGGTTTGCCGGCGGGCAAGCTGGTGACATCCACTTTGGAAAGATCCCAAGCTGGTGGTGGTGGGGGGGTGCCTCTGCTGCCTCTGCTTATAGAGTCGATGCCTCTATCGGAAAGCATCGGGCATCGCTGGACGCAGCGCTGTGGGGATCCCTCAGTGCTTGGGGGGATTTGGGGGGATGTTAGTTAAGAGAAAGAAATAAATACGGAACAACTGCCTGCGGGCTGTGACCTTTTGTAACGGCGATTAACCCGATTAGTGAATTTCATCAGGAAGGCGCTGGGGCAGGGAATGGGGCTGAAGGCTGCGGAGCAGGCGGTGATGCCCGTGGGGCAATGCCCGTCGGTAACCGGGGCCGGGAAGCCGAAGGGGGGATCGGGTTCGCCTCCTTCCTTCTTCCCTCCCCTCCCGTCCGCCCCCGCCGCCATTCCACACCGCCCTCGCCTCGGAGGCCATTCATCCGCCTGACCCCCCCCCGCCCCGCAAACGTGGCCAGCCCCCAAACCCGGGATCCCATCCCCCTCCCTTCCCCGTCCCCGGGAGCGCCGGCATGGGGGTGGATGCCCCTCTCTCCGCCCCGCTGCTACGGGGGTCCCGCCTGGAAGAGGAAGGGAAAGGGGAGGGTCCGACCGCCGCCGCGTACCCACCGGTGCCGGGTCGCGGTCCCTGCTGCCGCCGTGGCCGCCCGTGTGGAGTCGTGGCACTTTCCGCCGCTGTCTCGCCGGGTTCGGGGCCGCCCCGTCCCGCCCCGCCCCGTCCCGTCCCGTCCCGCCCCGCCCCGTCGCTCCGCGCCGCACCGCGGGGCCCACTCAGAGCCGCGGGGCGGGACGGAGCCGCTCCGGACGGGACGGGACGGTGCTGGGGGTGCAGTCCCCGCGGGTGGAGGGACCCCTGCGTGCCCTAAGGAAGAGCTGGGAGAGGATGGGGGGAAACCCGGGAGCTCCCTGCCGCGGGTGGGGAGGATGATTCAGGCTCCGGAGGCTCCCCAAGGGCTGGCTGAGGGCACCACGGAGCAGAGAGAACCCCAAAGAGGGACGTGGAGCTGTTGGAGCAAGTCCAGAGGAGGCCACTGAGATGCTGTGAGGGCTGGAGCAGCTCTGCTCTGGAGACAGGCTGAGAGAGAGGGGCTGGTTTAGCCTGGAGAAGAGAAGGCTCCTTAAGGGAAGACTTTAGAGCAGCTTCCAGTGCCTAAAGGGGCCAACAAGAAATCTGGAGAGGGGCTTTTGATAAGGGCCTGTAGGGACAGGACAAGGGGGAATGGCTTTAACCTGACAGAGGGGAGATTGAGATGAGACATTAGGAAGAAATTCTTCCCTGTGAGGGTGCTGAGGCCCTGGCACAGGGTGCCCAGAGAAGCTGTGGCTGCCCCATCCCTGGCAGTGTTCAAGGCCAGGTCGGACACAGGGGCTTGGAGCAACCTGGTCCAGTGGAAGGTGTCCCTGCCCGTGGCAGGGGTTGGAACTGAATGAGCTCTAAGGTCCCTTCCAACCCAAACCAGTCTGGGATTCTATGAAAAATCACACAAAAGGTCTGGGTTCAGATGAGAATGTCTCCCAGCCTCCACATCTTCAGCCAAGCCAAAAGCTGTATCTCTCCCTTTCCTGCACCTCCTCGGTCACATTGAGGTGCACACTCTGGGTTCTGGGCACTGACTGCAGACTGAGAAATGAATGCATTATAAGAGTGGCTGTGAGGGAGTGATAATTTGGAACCTTCCAGCCTCCTGCCACCTCGCTCCTTGCAGCCTGCTGTGGCTGCTTGGGGCACTGATGTTGTATTCCAGTAGCCAGCCATTCTCGGGAGCAGGCAATCAATGCTGTTCTTCCTGGTTATCCCTGGGGTTTACATCTGCATCATCGCCCCTTGCACGGAGAACAAGTTGTGCCATTGAGGCCAGGCAGGGCACGGGCAGCAGGTCCTGCCCACAGCCTGGTACGTCTCGACACAACAGCAAGGAGAATAAGAGACTGTTTCATGCGGGCTGATGTGATGGAAGAAGAGAAAAAATGCACTAATGGAGAACCATTCTGGGCTAATTATGATAATAAGGCTTCTGCAGAGGGACCTGAAATAGGCATAAACACTTCCAGTGCAGAGTGAGCAGATGGAGCAGGGATGTGAACCCAGGTGTCTTCTGCCGCCATGGCACAGCTCTCTCTTTTCCTCCTCCCTCTGCTGTGTTTCGGGGCTGTAGATGGATGTCTGAAAGCCTTGTTTGCCCTCTGCTCACCACCACCACCATGGCTCAAAGCTGGTCCACCCCACAGCACTCTTCCCATTATCCACAGCCTATTATTCTTTGGCCTTTCCCCTCCCACTTTTTAAGACCTCAAGCATATACCTCCCACCATGGTGTTTCCCTCTGATTCTTGCTGCTGATCCAGGCCACTGGGTCCTGTATTATCAGTATAATTTGCTTTCCCCCCATATCAAAGGAATTCTCCCTAACTACTAGTTCACCCAACTCCTGCCCAGAGACAGCATCCAGCCCAAATGGAGAGGTCTGTGTACCCTGTTGTTAAAACAACCAGAGCGCTGGCGATTATCCACGGTCATCCTCTCCGCTAGAAAGTTTTTCTTGGGTTCAGTTTGAAAACCCCTTGCTCCAGCTCAAGTTTTTCAGTTCCCAGTTATTTTTGCATCCACAAGTCTTTGGCTGTTGGTAAAGAAGCTGTTGTTTAGCCCTGGAACGGCTCCAGATCTCTTCACTGGATGTATTAGTTATCCTAAATTCATAACCATCGCTGGGGTATTTTTAGCTCTGCGCAACAGTCATCAAACCAACCCCGCCACAAGGTCTGCAGGGCTCTCTCTGCAGCCCTGTCTCTTCTGAAGGTCCAGACTCAGTCGTTGCAGAGATGACCATGAAATCCTGCTTGGGTAGGATTGGGATCCACATCCAGGAGGCTGAGCATGCAAACAGGCATGGCTTGTGTTTCCTTACAGGAGAGCAGTCAGCTCTGCCTGGGCTCAGCCTTGCATTTCAATCCTGAGCACTTGGACTGTGCCTGCCACCCTTGCTCCCACCATGGAATACTTTATGCTACAGAAATACACCAGAAACCTGGTAGGAACGAGAGCAGAGGGGGTCCTTTGCTCCAGATTTGGTTGCTGCCTGCACTATGGGAATGATGCTGCGTTGTCTACCAGCCAAGCTGATCCTCCATGTAGTCCTCCATCCACATTCATCCCTTTGGAGACTCTGGAAGCAGCCTTTCCTTTTGTATAAAGACAGGAATTGGTACATCTGGCCTGAATAAGGCTTGACACCAAAGGGACATGCCAACCAGTGACTTCAGCTTCCCAGTTGCATGCTCAACCAGATCTGTTCTGCAAGCAGCCCCTGCTCTCCATGGCACTCGGGAGCCCCTGATTCATCACTCTGTGTGTGCCTGTCTTGTTGCCACTTGGTAAATGTTTCACATTCTACTCCTAATTTTCTCCCAGAACTCTGCATTCTTTCACATGCCAAGACGGACACATCCCACCAGGATGGCTTCAGATACCAGAGCTGCACAGCTTAGCCCATGCCAGATGTTAACTTTCCCTCCCTCTGCCATGATGACGGGGATGGGGTTGTCCTGGCTGCTCCTGGTCTTGGTCCAGCACATGCCGTGGTCTCCCAAATCTCACATCAAAGCTTGGGCTGTTTGGAAGTTTCCACACAGCTATGCCAGGCACTGGAATGCTACAGAGCTGTAGGACTCAGCATTAGCCTAAGGTCACTCAGAAAGGGCAGCTGGTAGACTGAGTGTAGCTGGATCCATCCCAACCTCAGCTGCACCATTCGATGCTGCTGTAGATGCTGCGGTATCACTTGTGCCAGAGCAGGCTTGTAACAGGAAAAGCCAGCCTTAGGGCAAAGCCAGGAACACAAGCTAATTTGGGAACACAATGGTTATGCTAATCAAAACACCTTCCAGAAAAGAAGGGAAGGAAATTACCTAATCCTTCACCATGCAACGTGGCACCCCAGTGCCCAGTCTGCAGAAGCAGGGCTATATACAGCTTAGAAGAACAGGCATTCTCATCTAGGCAAGGAAAAAAGCATAGGGATCTCTTGTCCTCCAGACATTCTTCATCGACATTGGATGCAGGAGAATCTCTGTCTTCCCCACCCCAAACTGGCTTTAGGTCCAGATAACTTCATGCATCTCTTGAAAGCTTGGCTGGACACAAACTGACGTGATTCCAGGAGCTGGGGCTTAGCAAGAAACTTCTTCAGGACTTGGAAAATCTGCCCAGAAAGAAGGGTTGCAATGATTCAGGGACGTGCAGCTTGTCTTGTTCCACCACTAACAGATTGTGATGGGGCAATCACTGATGATATCAAGGGAACTATTCTCACTTCCCGTGTATTATCTCAGCAGGGTTCAAGCTCCTTGCCTGACTCAACATCTGGAAATTGTAATCCAGCTGAAAACAGCCCAGGAAGGACCTCCTGATGTGCCAGGAACAAACACAGCTCCCAGCTTTGAGAAATCCCAGAGCGTGGCCCCAGGTGGAGAATTAAAGGTATTTTGGGGATACGAGCACGGCAGAGCTATGGAGAGGTCACGAATGCACTGGCGGGTTTAAATATAAAGCCACAAAGTACCTCTGGCTTAAGAGACACCTCTTCTGGGGTCAGGCTGCTTTGGTTGAAGGTCTCCCATGTTCAAGCCTCCTCTGCCTATTGCACCTGCCCCTCAAAGGTGAAACTCATGCAGCACATCTCCCCTGGGTGAAGCATCATTTGTGGGAGAGCAGAGGCATTTGCTTCTGCAGGTGCCTTTTGCCTGGTGCAACCTGAATAAAGACAGGGGCAGGAAGAGACAGTCCATTGCTTCAGCTGTGCGTGAGAGAGTGTGTGTCCATACTGGTGTTGTGTGCGGATGGCAAGGGGACAAAAGGAGGCTTGTGTGATCCATCTATCTACTTCCCATCAGCAGCTGATCTCTGACCAACCTAGTAATAGGCCATAAGCTTCAAAGATACTGGTGTAAACAGGAGAGGTACCCAAGGAGTCCACGAGTGCTTTGGCTGGGTGAAAGCCAGAACAAGCAGTTGGGGACATCACATGGGAAGAACATCAGGGCTTCCCACCCCACAAACACTGCACAGCAAAGCCTGAGAGCCACTGGATGCTCACAGCCCTGAAGGCCAAAGGGAAGAGAGAACTCAAAGCAAAAGGAGCTGGCGTGGCAACCACCACCCTGTCACACCAGCTCCTCTTCTCTCTGGGCTTGGTTTGCAGGGAAGCACTATGGGAAAATGTGAACTGTGCCCATGGTTGGAGGTTTGGATGTGGGCAGAGGGACTGCAAAATCTTGGCACAAGAGCTAGGAAGGGAAAGCAAAGACCTGAAGGGGTTTCTTCTATTCAACAGTGCAATGAAAGCTGCAAAGATAATAAGGGAGAAAAACACCCCACAGCTTTGTGTCATGGTGTTATGGACATGGTACTAATGGCAGCTTCCAGTATATCATACCAAGCTGCTGTGAAGCCCTTCGGATAGAAAGGCAGTGCCATCAACCCCACTTTTCAGGAGGAGAAATGCAGGCAGAGGGAGGATGCAGCTTTTCCAGGGCCAGTGATGGAGGCATATCCCGGGTCCCAGCTGAACGTGCTGACTCCCCAGCGAGCACAGCATCATCCACCATTCATGTCTGTTGAGGCACAGTGCCTCCTTCCAAAAAATCACATTCCACACTCATGTAAAAAACATGCATTCTAGATGGGACAAGTTTTTCTGGAAGAGAAAAATTCCTGGTTTGAATATGGAATTCCCTTCTTTTTCCACCCCAAAAAGGGGCTTTCTATGGAAAAAATGAACTTGTATTCCCCCCCCGGCTTTGATTTCTGCCTGTTTGAGTGTTTCTCCAGTCACAGACACGCAACACCTACCTTGCGAAGAGGACTTTGCAAAGGTCCAGCAGCACCTCTCCATCTCTGCTGGGAAAACCTTGCTTCAGATGTCCTGGGATCTGCCACATCGGCACTGAAACGTATCAGAAGGTCTCTAAAGCAGAAACACCTAGGAATCGTTATTTACACAGAGAAGCTGAACCGGTGTACAGGGAATGCTCTGAATGTGCTGACTCTGTAATGGGACCAGTGAACCAGATCCTGAGAAGGAGAAGAAGAGAATAAGGAGGAGGAGAAGGAGAAAAGAAAAGGAGTAAGAGAAAGAAAAAGAGAAAAGAAAAAAACTTTTTTTTAAAGAAATATATATATATATATATGTATTTTAAGCAGCTTTCTTTCCAAAAAACACAGCATAAAACCTGAGGCTTGAGGAGGTTAAATCTGTGCATGAGGTGGCATTGAATAATGCCAAGGTAAATCCTAATTCTGAATTACCCCTCTTAGGGCAGAGCCATGTACCTGCACGGGGCCATCCAAGAACACTCTGTGCTTGCTGCCTGCACACCACACTTTGTACTCTGAGCAAAGCAGGGAATTTTACATTACCAAGTTAAAAGAAAGACCTCTCTGAGTGCGTATGCGATTACACCCAGGTGCCAGGCTGACGTCTCATCCAAGCGAGAGGTTTGAACCCACACATGGGTCACAGCAGCAATGCACCACTGCAGCAGCACAGTATGATGGCTGATGTTCGGGGGTCAAAATATCAGGGGTTTGGGGCTTAAAGGAGGCTTTTGGGTGTGCAGGGGGGAGCTGGGACTTGTGGGAGAAATTCCAAGTCCAGTTTCAGGTTTGCCAGAGGCGTCACATTTGTCCCCCCATCCGAAGACAACAGACTGGTACTGAATTAACACAGCCAGGGTGGCTGCTTGTGCCAGCCCTGCAATAGCAGCATTGGACTCTGGCAAGGGGAAGGCACCACAACACCCCAAAATGCCCTGCTAGGCTTTGCCTGGTGTCTCCAAGGGGAGCTCTAAGGGATGCTCACAAAACACCTCTTCCTTGGATGCACCACCGCTCATCCCCCTGCCTTGGCAAGGGGCAGTGTTACTGGGGACATGACAAGGGCCTTCAAAACACCCGGAGAGAGCAGCGATTAAACAGGAGAACGCTAAGGAATAAGGTCACCACGACACTGGCCGTTTGAAGCACTCTGACACAGCAGAGCCGTCCCATGGGCAATGGCCTTTGGCTTGCTCATAGCGCCTGGGGAGCCGAGCGTGCCGCAGCACGGAGCCATCCCAGCCAGCAGAAGCTGTTCCCGTTTCCACTGCCGGGGGCAGTGCCTCTCATAAAGTTAATTAATCTCTTCATGCAGCATAATTACCCGGTGGGAATTGCTCATAAAGAACAACATGTGAAATCCAGGCCTTTGGATGTGACAGAAATGCCAAGATTATCCTAAATAAAAACCCCCATGCAGAATCAAATGCTTAAAACTTAACAGAGGGCAGGGGTCATGCTCTCCGGACTCTTTCCTAGCTGTGATTCCATTCATGCTGCTGGAAGAGCAGAACATCCCGTGCTGGAACTGCAAGAGGTCCCAGAAGAGGACGTAGCAAGCATTGACCCGGAATAAAGCCAGCAAGCTGCCATTTGTCCCTGGCTTTATATATATATATATATTGTAAACTGTACTTTGACTCTGTGTACTCAAGGGAAATATTTACCTTGAGAGTGACAATGTAAAGCTTGTCTGCAGAGCTACCTCTGCTCCTATTTGTATCCCACCTTGCCAGCCTCTGAAATGCCAATCACCACACTCACACCGTCGCCAGGAAATAAATGGTGAATGCATAGAATCCCAGACTGGTTCGTGTTGGAGGGGACTTTAAAGCTCACCTAGTTCCAAGCCCCTGCCATGGGCTGAGCTGCTCCAAGCCCCATCCGAAAAAGCCCCATGCAAAAAGGCTGTTCCTTCCACAGGAGTGCAGGTCTGCTTGGAGGGCTCAGAGATGCTCAAGGGGGAGAGGGGCCTGGTTTAAAAGGTGGGGGGGTTCTACCTGGTTCCCAAAATTAAAGGGCTATCTTGACTCCTGGGTGAGATGTGTTTTCCTAGAAGAGTCACTTTTCCACAAATACCTATAAAAGCAAGAACAGATTACTTGTCAGCCTGCCCTAGTTCAATGGGAAGAACAAGTTACACACTTGTTTGCAAGTCTGTAGATATTACTAAGGGCACTTTGTTCCAAAGAGCAGCTTTGGGATTAAATGCACTTTGGTAGCAATTCAGACAGGATCATCAAAGCCTTGCTCAATCATCAAGTACCTGGGGCTGGAAGTGACACAACCACCCCATTCTGGGAACTGCAGTGGGGAGGACTGTCTCCATGACTGCTCTCCATCATCTGCTGGGGCTCCAAGGAGCAGGACACATGGGCAATGCAGGGGCTTAGTCCTGCTCCTCCCCAGCCTCTGGTCTCCAAATCGCCCCCTCTCACTTCGGTTTCTTCTAGTTTTAAATGTCAGGCTCTGCTGTTCTTCAGAAGGTGCTAACACCTACAGCAAGGGCTGTATGTTGGAACTGGAAAAGAGAGGGAAGGGTTTGTAGCAGGTATCCTTGCTCATTTATTAATTGAGTGCACGAATGAAACCACATTCATTAATCCAGGGAAGTGTTCTCCCCCTACTCATCGTGCTCAGGAACAAGAACAACATCTTCCCTGTAGAAATGCCTCCTGTTATGTGGGAAGAGGCAAGGCTAAATGGAGTTCAAAGGGCAACGGCAGGCAGGGATCAGCCTGTGAATAGATAAGTAGTAAACACAGAGCAAACACATCTTCTGGGGTGCCCGTGCCTTTAGGAAAAAGTGTCTGAGACCCAAAAAGAAGAGAAAGATGTTAGTGATGCAACCTGACACTCCTGAATCGTCTTTATCCACACCAGATGGTTTGCAAGAGTCAAGCTCGTAGTGGATCTCATGGTGCTCTAAGAGTTACATGGGGCTAGATGGAGAAGGGGACAGCCAGGGACATGCACAGCCCATTTTGACAGAGCAACACGGCTCCTGTAACCAGTGGCTGCCGGGAACTCGGTGCAATCGAATGGAGGGAGGTAAAGAAAAAAGCAGCCTGGCAGTAAATAGGCTCAGCAAATTCAAACAGTGAGCGAGTTCCAGGAAACAGAGATAACCCTGTAGGCACAAAGATCCTGATCCAAAGCCCATGGAAGCCAGCAGGAAAGAAAACCGTGTTAGCTTTTAGCAGGCTTTGGATGAAGCCCAGGGAAAGGCAAGTAAGTGACCCAGTCCCAATGAGTCCATGATTAAATAGCCACCCCAATCTCACACACCTTCCCTGGCAGCTCCTCCCCTGCAGGTTGGCCCCAGTCTGGGAGTTCCCTGTACATACATACATACTGACCTATACATACGTGTACATACTGACTGCTGCTGGGTCCTGCTCTCCTGGCTGCTCTCTGCTCCCTACAGCTTTGTCACGAGACCGAGCATTTGGTGTTCCTCCTCGAGCCTCCTGCAGTTAGAAGGGCACATGAAGATTCTAAAAGGCAGCAAACAAACACCTCAGCTATGGCTCACTGGTACGGACAGCACAGGTTGTGCTGCGCTTTCCTTCCGCAGGCTTCGAACACAGAATCCAAAGAGAGAAAGTAAAATCTCTCTTTTAAAGAGGACAGCCTCAGTTTTCCCAAGGGCTGAGCAGCCCAGGATCTCTCTCTGCTTTGGGGTGCAACACTCTGATTTAAGCAGGGCCCTTGTTTGGGCTGCTCAGCAGCCAGCAGAGCTGGGCTGAATGCTTTACTTTTGTAATAAAAATGTGGAGGTTTAACTGCAATTGTCTGGATTAAAAAATGAGAGCAGTTGCACAGTGCCTGCTCCAGAGACCGCTGACATCAACGGCAAATCACTGCTGCCCTTCTTCAGTGGGTTTTGAATCGGATCCGACAAATGCAGCCCAGCCCAGCCACATCTGCAATACCGCAGTCAGAAAGGAGCTCAAGCATCCTAGAAATCCAAAGAGGCAGGGAATAAAAGGTGACAACTAGGAAAAGAAACGTGCTGCAGATCAGCAGCTGTGTTAGAGCTTGAGGGGAGAGCACAGAGCGGGGAAGTCACTTGGAACCACAGCATGGAGTTAGAGGGACAATTGTCGTGTTAATACCAACATCATCCCACTCCAAGCCACTCAGTTTCTCCATGCTGACAAGTGTTACTGTCCCTGGGCTGTCGGGGCGAAGCTAAACAACTGTTTTCCAACAGAAAGAGCCTTGTCAAAGAAGAAGGTGTCTTGTAAGAGCGGTATGTTTGTAGGAGAAAATACAGAGATTTGATTTCGGAGGACTCCCTTCCCCCACTCAAATCCCTACCACTAAAATGAATTGGGTTGAAAATAAGGCTGTTGGGTTTGTGAATTACAATATTTATCAAAGAGAGGCTTTCACGGCGCTGGAAAGGAAATCGAGCTGAGACTTTGGAAAACTGTTCCTGGAAACAACTCCTTTTTTCTTAACGTGGTTTTAGTATGGTTTCTTAAGGCCATTAAAGCTTAAGCAAGAGCTGCATCTGCTCATCATTCCCCCTCTTGTAACATCTTAACCCACTGAAGCCTTTTAAATGATCTGATAGAGGGTGAGAGCTTCTAAAGACAGGTCCAGTGATTTCCCTGGGAAATGAGCTCTGGAGAAATGCTCCTACAAAGCCCTCCCTCTTCACTAGAGAGGCTGGACCATCAATAGGCATCAGAGAAGCCATGGCAAGGCACAGATCCACAGAGACCTGGCACCGCACTGGACTAGCACAACTATTTGGGATGGGTCTCTGTTGCAAGGGACAGGAGCCTGGATGGGTTTGATGGATTTTTGCCTGGGAGCAACTGGGAGGCAGCTGAGCTGCAAGGGCATCTGGCTTTGCCACCCACCAGACCCACAGACAGCATGTGGGCAAGGAAACAAATGAAGGCCGGATGACACAGCCTCCTTCGAGGCAGGGATGGTTTAGGTTTTCCATGCCTAGCGTCAGCTCCCTGGAGGTCACATCCTCAGTGAATGAGGCAGGCAGGGGGTTGTGACCCTCATGCTTCCCACCCACATGCCAGCAACAGCATGCATCCAGATCCAGCACCAAGAACCAGCCCTGTTCAGGATTACAGCCAGTAATGTAATGCACCCACTGCTGTGGCATGACCTCTGAGACAGGGATGGACCATGCCCTGTGCTCTCCCTCCCGGAAGGGTTTGGGCTTAGGCCAGGTCTTTGTGTGACAGTGTGAAGGTCTAGGCTGGGTTGTGCTAATGATGCAGGCTCAGCACTTGACTCCAGAGGAACATCC